CCCGCCCAGACCCCCCGCCCCCGAGGAGCCCGCCCGGCCCCAGCCGCTCCCCGTGCCCCGGCAGCAAGGAGAGGCGCCGGATCGGTCGGGAGAAGCAGAGGGACACGGGCTCCTTTCGGGCGCCTGGGGCTGGGACTTCGCGCACAGCCTGAGGCGAGGAAGAAGAGCGGAGAGGGGACGCTTGGGGCCCTGCTACCAGGCCAGCGCCTTGACATCCTCCCAGGAAACACAAACTGGGAGCTGAGTCAGAGACCTGGAACACGCCAGTGGTTTGGCAAGAAATCGAGCAGGCAGCCGGCCGCTGCTGCACGTACGCGCCTTGCCCGGGGCAGGAGACCCTCTCGGTCCAACAGTGGCCGCAACGGAGCCACCCTCAAGCCCCTGGGGCAGGGGGGAAGCAAAGAAAAACACCCAAATCTAGCTAAGAGCTGGGGTTTTTTTCCCCCCAAACATCACGACGGCATCTACACGTTCCTGTGCGCATCCTCTCTGCTGCTCAGAAGAAGGGCCGGGAGATGCCAGCAGAGATCTAGGGAGGAGGCTGGGGCCCTGCCAGCGGGGAAGAGAGGGGAGGCAGGATCCACCACCGAAGCCACCTAGCCCTCCACCGAAGTCCTTACCACATACTCCATCGCCGGCGGAGGGCAGGGCAGGCCCCGGGCAGGGAACAGAAACGCACAGCCCCTCTCGTCTGGCACTCCGACCTGCGGTTCGGGGACAAACAGGGAATTAGCCAGCCCTGCCCCGGACCGCCGAGGCGGTGGCCCTGGCACCAAAAGGCAGACCCTGCTCCTCTTCACCGACTGCAGGTGGACGGGACCGTAGCAGCAGCGCAATGTGCTGCCGACATACGGGGCGTGAGAGCCAAAGAAGCCTCCTGCTTCCCATCCCAGGGAGGACGAAGCTGGGATGTGCTGGGGAAGGAGTGCGAGGCCAAGCCTGGCTCTGCTCAGGCCTTACCAGCAAATGGTGTCGGGGGCTGAGAGTCACTCTGTGACCCGAGATAACCGTCGGAGCCGATCCCTGCCCGGCCCCAAAACCAGCACCCAGAGGCCACACACAAGGGGGGAGAGCGGAGGCAGCCCAGGGGGGCAGAGCTGCCCCCTCCTGCCCACCTGCCACCCCCTCGGCTGGCACCCCGCCGCAAAAGGACGTGCGGCGAAGAAGGGAGTCATGGAAAGTAGCTACGAGCGAGGAGCCAGGAGGGGCAGGAAGCTCTGCGAGGGGAAAACAAGGCAAGCAAAGCAGGAGCAGCTCCGGAGCCGCTGCCCTTCCCGCTCCCACCCCCAACGCCGATGCAGTCAAGGCCGGCCGAGCAGAGCAGAGCAGGGCAGCAAACATGATTTACTTCCTTGCAGCAATCGTGCCCTTATCTGGGGCCTGCAAAGGCAGCGCCGGAGCCCAGGCGGGCACTAACACAATTAGTTCGGGAGGCAGTGAGATAAGAAGGGCCCCGCTTGGCAAGCGCAGTGGCGCAGACTGGCCCTGGGCAGGGCCCGGCAGCACAATGCCAGGTCATTTGCTGCCGAGCAAAGGTGGTGACGAGGCCCTTTGGATGCCAGGGGCCGAGGTTGGCAGCAGGGAAGGAGGATCGGGACCCCAATCCGGGGTGCTCGGCTTCACCGAAGCCTCCTCAGGGCCCAGTTGTGTCTCCCCCGGAGAGGGGACGCTGCCCTGCACAGCTCCCGGGGGCACAGGCAGCCCAGCCATGGCACTCCCCCACCAAAGAGCTGCGGGTGGATCCTCAGGCCCTGCTTGGCTGAGAAGAGACGGCATCTTGGACCCCTCTGGAAAAGGCCGAGGCCAGAGCAGCCCCGGGGAATGCCGCGAGAGCTGCCCTTTGCCCACAGGCTTCCGCAGCGCTAGCCCAGCAGGCAGAGCCTGGGTCACAGTTCCTCAGACCCCGTGTCTAGGGTCCCCTCGGGCCAGCACAGCGAGCGAGTGACCCCACTGGAGAGATTCACCCCAGAGAGGCAGGGACAGCCTGCGACGGATGGACACACCACACTGCCAGGGGGGAAAGGCAAAGGCCAGCAAGGCGGAATATGTACCCCCAGGCACAAGAGCCCGGTCTGCTCTGGATACTTGCCCCCTGCCTCCCTCCGAAGCGGGGAAGCACAAGCAGGGCTGCATGCCGGATGGTGGGAGGGTGCACCCAGGCACCGAAGAGGCTGAAGACCCCTCCAAAACCAGCCAGTGCCCAGTCCCCACTGGGGGCGACACCAGTCCAGGGCCCGGGGGTTCCCCCTGGCCCGACAGCATCCCTCAAGCCGGCCTCCCTCCCACGTACCTCACCGGCACACGACCCTGAGCACCGGGACGGGGCAACGCAAGCGGGAGCCCAGCGAGTGGCCCTGGGCACGCACAGCGGCCACCGCGCAGTGCGGGGG